AAACTGGGAGTCACAGAACACATTTCTAAGCCCTCTTGAGCTTGCCAGCTTCCCTCTCACCACTTGCTGTAGCCACTGCTTGATGGACCATCTGTGGCTTATTTCAACTGGATAAGTTAATCAGGGTTAGCATTGCCTGTACTTACATCTAGTTCGCACGTCATGACAGCAACTCTTGGGTTGCTTAACCCAAGTACTGCAGACATTAGGAGAGCATGTGAACCGCTCTTTGTTTTAAATTTCAATCAACAACCCTGGAATGTCCCATTCCTTCTTTCTCTATGTGCATGAATAAATATTTATGGGTTAAACAAACCACAGTTATTTCAACAGCAAACCATGAGAAATTGTTGAGATAACTGGGCTGTTTAACCCATAAACTAGAGATAGGAATGAACTATTCCTGAACAGGATGAGGCAATTCACTGTCTTGCAAATATTCTGATTATAACTTATTGTTTAATTTATTACATTTCTATACTGTCCAACAGCTAAATCTCTGAGCAGTTTTCAACAATTTAAACTATGAAATGGCAGACAGTGAGATACCATACAAAAATGTAAAAAGTAAAAACTACAGTATAAGATAGAAACTAAATAACATACAGTAACAGATTTAACAGCAGAAACTGAAAGACTAAAATGCCTTGAAAAGCAACTTATTCACACAGTGCCAAAAAGAGAACAATACAGGCACCAAGGGAAGCTCTCTGGGAAGCTCATCCAAGTACCACAACAAAATGAGCGCCTCTTCTTAGTTTCTCCATTTGACTTTGTTTTGTGGGGGCTCCTGGAGAAGGGGCACTGAAAATAATGTTAGAGTCTGAGAGGTATAGACAGTCCTGCAGATTATCTACAGAATATAGGTTATCAAACACATAGAATTCCTTCCTATTAGCAGTTTGAATAGGGATGGTAGGACACACCTTGTATAACCCTGCCTAGAACAGGGTGTCTTGTTTATTTCATTTCTATACTGCCAAAAGCTGAAACTCTCTGTAGAAACTTCATTTTTATACCATCCATCAATTGAACGGCCATGGATAAGTGTGCCTTCAAAATTACATCATCTGGTGCTTGCAGCTCCCATGGGCCGCCGGAATGGGAGGGTCCAAAGTAGCATCCCTGGCTTGCAATATACAAGCAACATTCTCCCAAGAGTGCAGGATATATCAATATCCTTTAAAATCCAAGGGAATCCCAGAAACATAACCATTGGAAGAAAATAATGGTCTCATTCCAGAACCTTGACTGACAGGGCAAAGTAAACACTGCATGCCAGGAGATCGTGTCAATGGTACTCTGAGTTATATTAAAGTTGTCTGACCACAATGCTGCAGCATGTTGAAGATGCATGCATTTTTCTTTGAGAGTGAAATACGATTCTCATTTTTTAATCTAGAAAAACTCCTCTGTATTCTAATATTAAAAGTATCCTAATGTCAGAAGTAATAAGATGACCTAATCAAAGTAGCAGAACAATTAGGTCACAGCTTATTATATATTTCCCCCATAAGCATGATTAAACCAACAAAACCATTCCACTGTATCTCAATTACTGACAGCAAATAAGTAGTATACCAAAAGACACGTATTCTAGGTGTAACTATTTTCCTACAATCCTTAGCCCTCAAAGAATCCTAACCACATATATACTGAAAACACCTAAGTTGTCAGTAGCTAGATATAACTGGAAGCACTTCCTCACACAATGGATTTATAGAGTTCACTATGCAAGAAGGGGCGACAGCTCTAGAATTACAAAATTCAAAGAAGGATAGGTCCTCCAATGCAGTATTTTGCAGTAATGCTGGATGGTAATTAATGCATTTGAATATGCCAGATCTATTTGCTTCCAGTAATTCTTTCAGTCAGAACTCATCACATAGCTAAACCTATGGAAAATGAATGGTAGAAAATTGTTCCTATCTTCTTATTCAGGCCAATACATCTTACCAGGTAAACTGAAAACCTTATCAGCAGATCCTCAAACTATAACTACTAGATTATAGAATATTCTCCTTCTAGAATACACACCTTAACAAGGTGAGGGGTTTTGGGAGTATCAGAGAAGCCTAGAGCAATGCCACCAGGAGATCAAACTCTCTCACCAGGCTGGTCTCCTAGCAAAGGAGGAGAGTACAACAGAGAAAGATACATCCACCTTCTTAAGCTCACATCCCCAGAAGAGAAAGAATATTTCCAATGATGAAACTCCTGAGCAGCAGTGGTAGTTCAAAGTAACACTGGCAGAGAATCCTTCAGAGGCAACAGCAGTAACACTTATGTTATTAATAGTTAGCATTGTGCAGAAGTGGAAAACCACATCTGTCAATTTCTTACCTAGAAAACCTATGAAGAAACTATCCAAAATGAAACAAGAGATAGTACCAGAAAATGAGACTCCCAGGGTGGAAAGCATGGAAGAGCAAAGGAAAGTACAAACAGTGCTGTTACTAATTACACAAGTAGATTCAAACAAAAGGAAGTCTAGTGGCTGACATGCACAGCACATACAATTGGAACATGGAAGGGATGAATCAAGGCAAACTGAACCAGAAAGCAAGAAATGGTATGGTTAAACATCACAGTATATGGTATGAGCAAACTAAAGTGGACTGGAATGGGATTTTTTTTTTCAGTTAGACAAACACAAAGTGTTTTACTCTGAAAGTGAGAAACTGAGAAGAAATGGAGTGGCTCTAATACTGGATTACTGAAGTAACACAGGTAGTAAGGAGTTATCATGCAAAGTACAACTGAATCATATCAATTAGAATTCTCAGAAAATCTATCAACATAGCCATCATTCAGATCTACATTCCAACAACAGAAGCTGAGGAAGAAATCAGTGTTTTTTTTTCAAGTTATTGTGTGTGTGTGTGTGTGTGTTGTGTAGGTTTAGTTTTGCAACTTTTAATGATATTTTAGTATGTTTCTAATGCTACATACCTTTATTGGCTTTTTGTTTGCTCATTAATGTGGTTTGTGAACTGTTTGTTTGTTGGGCAATATAGAAAACAAATGGATAAATAAATGTTTATGCAAGCATCCAAGGAAAAAATGTAACACACCCAGTAGATTATCCTGAAAGAAATGGGGGTTTCAGTACTTGATTAGCCTCATGTGTAAACAAGAAGCTAGAGTTAAGGGAACATAAAGGAAAAACAGGATGGCTTCCTATAGGCAAAGACATTAAAAATAGTGTATATTCTATCCCTATCTGTAGAAGATATCGTAAGAAAACTGGATTAGGAAGGAGTGAAAATTGGAAGAGGACACATCAATAATTTAAGATATTCAGATAATACCATATTGCTGACAGAAAGTAGCAATGAATTGAAATGGTTCCTCGTGAAGCTAAAAGAAGAAAGTGCAAAAAGCAGGACTGCAGCTGAACAGCAACACAAATCATGACAGAAGATTTCTACAGCTTGAAATTATGAAATGTTTTGCATACATGGGCTCTGTCAATTCAAATTGAGGCTGCAGCCAAGAAATCAGAAGATACCTGAAACTTGGAAGGGCAGCAATAAAGTAACTAGAATAGATCATAAAGTGTAGATCCATAAAGACATTTTACTAGAGACCAAGGTCAAGATCATCCACTGCTGCATTCGTGTTCACTGTGTATGGATGTGAGAGCTGGACAGTGAAGAAAGCTGACAAGAAAATGGATGTGTTCAAAACATGGGGCTGGAGAAGAGCTTTGCAAATACTTTGGACCAACAGAATGATGAACTGGTGGATCCTAGAGCGAATCAAGCTAGAACTTCCCCCAGACAGAACTGAGCTGTTGAACTTTGCACACATCAGAAGAAGGCAAGACTCATTGCAGAAGACAAAAATACTAACAAAGTTGAAGAGAGAAGAAGAGGAAGATCAATTATCAGATGTCTTGATTCATAAAGGAATCCATACCCTTGAATTCACAACAGCTGACTACACTGTTGAAGACAGGCTGTTTTGGAAGGCCATCCATAGGGTCACTGTAAGTTTGTGATGACTTGATGCCAGTGATGTGTTCAAAACCTTTACTCCAACTCTTGAGTCAAGTCTCAAGTTTTTACTTTCAAGTCCAAGTCAAGTCTCAAGTCAACGCCAGAAATGTGAGCCGTCTCAAAAACCAATTTTAACAGAAAAAAGGGAGGTGGTGATGGGATGCATGAGGGGTGTTGATGGAAGCATTGTAACCTGCCCCCAGTGCACTTCATTCAGTGATGCACTGAAGTTCTTTCCTTCAACCACATTTTATTTTTAAAAAGCTGTGCTGTTATTTTGAATTTGATGCTAGTGCTCTGCAGTCTGCCCTGAATGATGACTGATAAATAACCCCAAAATGAAGGCTGCTGCACTTCCTGCCGAGGACAACAAAGTGCACCCAAAAGAGCTGAAGGCTTCCCCTTATATCGCGACCCCCCCCCCCGCCCCAACCTCCTTTATACCTCCACCCCACTGCCTCCCTCATGCCAAAAATAAAGAGCTGAAGCCTTGACTCCCCCATCACAACCCCCTTCTCCCCATGCTGCCCCCACCCCTTGACACTCCCTCCCTCCCACTGCCTCTGCTGTGTTTGTATCTGCCTTCCAGGATATCCTGCCACACAGTAAGCCCAAGAGCAAATCCCTCTAAAAAAATTTAGAAATCTCAAGCTGAGTTGCTCGCTCATTGCTCTCAAGTTGAATTGCTGACGTAACTTGAGTCAGACTTAGTAACAAGCCACTTGACTCAAGTCCCCAACACTGCTTGATGGCATGTAACAGCAGCCGCAGATTATTACCCTCAAACAGGCTTCAAAAAGAAGTGCAAAATCTCATGAGATGTCCAGATTAGTTGGTAATTCTTAGAGCTTCAGTGGTTACATATTGGGACCTGATCTTGTAAAATCTTAAGAGATAATATAGACTTGGAAAGTTTTTTCCAAGCATAGAACTCTTTTACCATATAGCACATTGCTACTTTTCAGAAGTTAAAATAAAGTAATTTAAATTAGTTCTTACCTAAAGAAGTCATACAGTAATGTCTGCACTTCAGAACTGGAAAGAGACTTCACTGCAGGTTTTCTTCAAATACCATAAAATTCTCTGAAACGAGGAAGATGGTGGATGGATGTAAGCATTTCTTTTGCCCCTTCAGAAATTTCACTAGCTCCCACAGCAACCCTAAGATGGGATGCAAAAATCTGTCAATAAAGGAAAAAAATAAAATATTGTAAAAATCAAAAGCCAGACAGATGCTAAAAGTAACAGTGCTAAATGTTTACCCAGCTGGCCATCTAATAAAAAGCAATCATAGACACAAATCTGAAGCAATCCCATTCACCCTTGTGCTGTCTTTGCTGGCAAAAGACATAGTCACCAGTAGCTACAGTTCAATTCAAAGCCTTGAGGAACTGTTCTAGAAGGGACAGCCTATTGGCCAAATATGATGAGATACTCCACGGAGGCAATTTCAAGCTGGCACTTAACTACCAAGAAGCCCTATGTCTGTTTCTAGTAAGATTTCCCACAAGAAGACCTCCAGACTTTAATTTGCTTCCCAGGATAAGCAAGAACCCAGAAGATGGTGTTCCCTCAGAAAAGTATCTATTGGGAAGGGGGCTGAAACAAGGAACCGCAAAAGTGTTACCCTTGTTGCTGCAGGGTACCCAATAACAATTACCCTTGTTATTGTCCCTTTTGTTTTGTACAGTACGAGTGCTTTTGATTCAAAGGATTGTGATTATATGTGGAAATGCATTCCTGCTGTTTCATTCTGTGCAGGACTCATCACTGCGCTATGCCCCAGTGCTCCCAAGGTGAGGCTACAGCAACCTTCTCAACCAACTGCCTCTAGATGTTGAGAAATACAACTTCCATCAAGTCCAACCAATGGACAAGCTGGCAGGGAGTTGTAGACTAAAACATCTGTTGGGTACCCAGTTGAGGAAGCAGGCATGACCAAAGAAACAAGGAAAATGCAGGCTGGCTAGTGTATGAAGTCATGAGTCTGAGTATGAAACCGAGTATGAGTTTGTGCCAAGCCTTACAGGCAAGCTTATACTAATGTAAGAACTTGTCTTTCATCTGGATAGATGTATATGTATTTTTATATTTAAATATTTTTTTGCTTTATTTTCACAAAGTGCTCTTCTATGAAGGCAGAAACCACCCTTCCAAAACAGGTTTCTACAATTAGGAAGACAGACTATTTAACCATTGTTAACCATGTTGAGAACTACTAGTAAAAAATATGGAACTTAAAAATGGAAAGAAATTGTAACTGAATACCATTCTATCTCCAATAATCATTGATGATTATACATACAAATGATCATTTTTGTATGTATCATGCAGATATCTCAACCACCACAATCCTATTAGGTTAAATGTTAGCAGAACTCATTAAGGATATTTTTAAGTAGCCTGCATACAATTTTTTAAAATAAACTATAAATTGTAACTACAGCAACCAAATTCATATAGTTAGTTGATATAATTTCATCCAAGAGCATAAAAATTGAGAAGATAGATATAAGTTCACATTGTCATTTACCAAGTAAGAATAATGTGAAAATTAAGAATGGGTCATAATGCACTGTTATTAGCCAACAAGCAAGCAAGCAAGCAAAGAATAGTTTTGTCAGCTTCCCAAATAAGAACAAGAAAAACATGTCTAGACTACACATATTAATGAAGTTTCATAAAACCTACAACCTTGACAAGAAGTTATATAGTAAAATTGCAAGTAATAACTGTGTAGATGAGGAATTCAGGAAACTATTTCTATCATGGACTTGTTCTATACAACAGTTTTTAGTACTAATAACACACAGGCAAACAATATAGAAATACGCATACCCCGACCAAATTCCTCCATTTTTCCAGTGAGTGCAATCCTTCCATTTTATTGAAAAGTTATCACCACCACATCTAGCACATATGACATTTTCCAATCAAAGTCTAAGAGAAACACTGAGAACAGTATATGAAATTTTGTTCTCTTTTATGGTCTCCACGTTCTGTCTCCAACATCAATTACGTTCAGACATGAAAAAATATAGCAGTTCAGATACCAGTGGTATTTGCTTCTGGCATCAGATGCCACATTCCTCTTTGTCCACAAACAAAATTGTACAATGTTTCCAACAGTAGCTGTTTCAAGGACAAGAGTAAGAAATGGTGTGAAATGTATTGAATGACAAAAAATCCTATTTTACTGTAACAGTCCATATTAAAAGATTTGTTATGAATTGACATTTATGGAATCTAATTAGTTAATATTTGATATTTGTTCCTATTCTTGCAAAACACAACAGAATTTGAGCTTCGAAACCAACGGTAACTCTCTTCCAAATTGTTTTGCGTATTAAATACTGTATGAATTGATACAATCTCTTTCTTCCTCCCACAAATGACTTTCACCCATTTCTCCAACTACTTCATACTGTTTGAACACTGAGTAAATATCTTTTATTATCTCATCTTACTTAAGACTCCCATTTAAAATACACTCCACAACTGCCATCCATGTAGAGAGATTTCAGTAGACTTCCTACCACCACTGGCCATCTAATCTGCCTCTTGAGATACTTTTTTTTAATGTCAACTATGCAGCTTGAAGACTTCAAGAAGGCTTCAAATGTGCCCATGGGACTTGGTGTGTGCAAAACCTGACTTGGTCTCTTCTACCAACAAGGAAGTATTCCTTGCTCGCAAGTCTAATTCTTTATTCTGCTTGCACATCATACCTTCCAGCAGTAAGGAGAACCGGGCAGTCTCCTAAGCTTTTGGCATGCAGTAGGAATCATACAGAGCTTTCAATCATGTTCTGTGTTAGTAAAGTTAAGTTTGGTTTAATACAGATGCCAGTGAAAAGAAAAATGCAACATGCTTTTTTAAATCAAAGTTCAAGTATCTAAAAAATGCATTTCAAGTTTCCCCAGATGCTTAAAAATGTATTTTATCAATTTTTAAACGATTAAAATATTTACAAAGCATATACTTATCTGGGAACAGTCAACAGCTGAACAATGCATATTGTTACTCTCCAAAGGTCTGGAGCCCTCCCTTGGTCCACCTTATAAACTCTTTTACACCAGTCTATGGGAAGTCTTTTCATGAAAATCATGACAATCAATTACAGTCAAAATTTTGCAGCACAAAACATCAGCTACACAACACTGGGACCTTAAATGGCACAGTGCAATATGCTATGTTAAGTGCAGCTACCAAATGAGCTTCAATTGACCCTAATAATCATCACTGGAATAGGAGAAAATAATTATATATTTGTCAAAGAAAGAACAATTTCTGAACATTTGCATAGGCAAAAGAACTGCCTCAGTAGCCTTTTGTGGTTTAGTCTGTATTGTTAGTAGGCAGTAAATGAGCTAGAGTAATGCAGATGGAACACTTAATATTTGCAAAGAAAAGGAAGCAGGGGATGGTGCTAGACTAGACACTCTGATGCCATAAGACTCATATGGTGAAATAAATGTCTGTCTTAGTATAAGCAATTTGTTTAGCACTTCCAGCTGAACAGAGAAAAAATAGATACCCAATGATAAAATTTTAAGAATAAAGAGAAGGGGTAGTAAAGGGGGGGGGGAATTCTTGAGAAAACCACTTAAGTTGCATTTTTCTGCAGATGGAACAGAGGGCTTAATTTCCTTGGTGCATATTCTGAAAAAGAACTCAGAGCAATGAGTCCAGGGTTCATAATGCCATTGCCTCCAGAAATACTAAGCAAATTATCTCTGTATTCAGTAGTTGCACATGGTATCAAGACAGATGAGTGTGCTTTGAGGTGCAAGCCTACTATAATTTACTTTCCCCAAGGAACCATGTCATTCATGTGGTGACATAAAAAGAAGTTGAAATTGAGGAAAAATGCTGTGAAGAGCTGATCTCACTGTCAAATAGGCTTTTGAGGACATATTATACTTAGGACATAGTTAGATTTTCTATAGACATTTTAAGTAGTACAACAGAACTGGTTCATAGAAATGGCCATTCTGTGGGACAAGTATAAATACTGCATTGGGACACTCCACTCTTCTGAAAAGAAAGAAAGATTTGCCTTAGAATCATTATCTGAGTAGCAGTGAAATATGTTTTGTCTCCAGGTCCCACAAGAGTACCTCCTTCAAGCAAATTCTTGAAAGTGTGTGCTACTGCTTAACGTATGTTGTACACTTAACTAAGATGCATGGCAAAGAGTGGCTTTGCAGGATAGAACTGGAATGCAGGTAGGAGGTATGTTTGACCACAATTTTTATGAGAACTCGCCCTGTTTGTACTTCCTGAAACTAAGAGGCTGTTGGGGTCTGGGGCTGGGACGTGGGAGCCCAGACCAAAGTCAGATGTGGGCAATCGGCATTAGGACCAGGGCAACAGATCTTCAGACAAAACAGAGTCCAAAAGCAAGGTTTAATGGCAAGCCCAATAGCAAAGCAACATGGCAAGGCAGGTCACATAATGATGCTAAATACATGAGAAGAGGCAGAACACAAACTGTAAGGGAGGACATAAGTGAGAGACATGCACAAAAGGAAACAGAGGACCTTGTAACACCGAGGCAACATGGCAAGGCAGCATCTGCAGGAAGCATTAGGTAAGATGCAGGCACTTGAGGCAGGATTCATGGCAAGGCGAGATGCATGGCACAGCAGGGGTACACAGCAAGACAGGATATACAGAAAGGTAAGATGCAGCAAGGGACAGGAAAGATGCAGGAGCTGAACCACAGCCAGAAAATGAAGCAGAACCACTGAAGCAACACAGCATGGCGGGATATGACCAGCAAGGCAGAATCCAGACCAGGCAAGAGGCAGGCTGAACAGCGAGACAACATGGGAAGGAAGGAACCAAGAGTAGGAATGGTCAGGCAAGGTGCAGACACAACAGGAATCAGGCAAACTGCGTGTTGCTAAGGCAACATGGCACTATGCAGGAAAAAGAAATGCCTGCAATGCTAAGGCTACTTTTGGATGGAGGAGCTTGCTCTAATGTAGCTGTTCCCCCAGGATTCCCAGCTGGCGCTCATCAGCAGAATGAGCGGTCCAGCAGGGCCTGGGACCAATCCTGCAAATAGGGTGGTGGCTGCTCTGGTTAAACAATCAGTTTAAAAGCAGAATGAAGCTACTAAAGAGTAAGTAATGGTTTTTGTATCACTGGAGAAATACCCAGGAACATGGAAATG